CCGGCCCCGCGGGGGATGCGGGGGGCTCCTGCCCCGGTGGGGGCTGCCAGCGCCCCACGCCGATCCCCTTCCTTCCCAATCCCATCCCATTCCAATCCCATTCCCATCCTATCCCAATCCCATCCCATTCCAATCCCATCCTGTCCCAATCCCATTTTATCCCAATCCCTATCCCAATCCCATCCCATTCCAATCCCATCCTATCCCAATCCCATCCCACTCCCATTTCTATTCCAATTCCATTCCCATTCCAATGCCATCCCATCCCATTCCCTCCCCACCCCATTTCAGACCCAGCAATGAGGGTCTCCCCACCCCTTTCCTTTCCCACCCCTCATTTCTGGGAATGCCTCTTGTTATTCTATTTTTAGTCCCATGAGAAGGGTGAGACAGTACAGGCGTTATAATTCACGCTATCACAATCAGAAGCCAACTATTTCTTAATTATAATGCAAATTATAAGTATATATAACATAATATAATGTAAATATAATATAATGTAAATATAATATAATGTAAATATATTATATTATATTATATTATATTATATTATATTATATTATATTATATTATATATTTTAACTTTCAATATTTAAAATTGTATATATTTAATTTCCATATTTAAAATCTATAATTTTATTTATAAATATATAAAAATTATATATATTAATTATATAAATATTATATAATTCTATGTATTATTCAACTATAATACAAAAACCACGCATTTCTTGCCCTACCAAATCTTCCACAAATCCATTTCCCACACCCCTGAGGTGCCCCTGAGCCCGGGGACGCCGCTGCTCCCTCATCCCGCTCCGGGCCCGGCCGATCCCGTCCCTCCCGGTGCTCCCGCTGCCCTTCCCGGCTCGGGGTCACCGATCCCGTCCCTCCCGGTGCTCCCGCTGCCCTTCCCGGCTCGGTGCGGAGCGGGGTCACCGGTCCCGGCCGCTCCCGGGGGCTCCAGCCCCGCCAGCTCTGCCTTATCAACCTCTTATCGCTCCTGCCCCCGCTCGCTCGCCTCCCTGGACAATCATTAATTGATCTCGGCTCCCTAACGAGCTCTGCTGCCTTTGGGCAGTTCTGGCCTCAGCGCCCTCCTGGCAGGAATCCCTTCCCGAGATCCCAGATCCTAAAGGGGATTCACAGATCCATCTGACCAACATCCCAAATGCTAAAGGGGATTCACAGATCCATCTGACCGTGCTCCCAAATCCTAAAGGGGATTCACAGATCCATCTGACCCTGCTCCCAAATCCTAAAGGGGATTCACAGATCCATCTGACCCTGCTCCCAAATCCTAAAGGGGATTCACAGATCCATCTGACCCTGTTCCCAAATCCTAAAGGGGATTCACAGATCCATCTGACCATGCTCCCAAATCCTAAAGGGGATTCACAGATCCATCTGACCCTGCTCCCAAATCCTAAAGGGGATTCACAGATCCATCTGACCCTGCTCCCAAATCCTAAAGGGGATTCCCAGATCCATCTGACCCTGCTCGCCGTCCTTCTCCCTCCCAAAGGCAGAACGGAGTGAGGTTGGAGTTAAATCCCAATATTTTCATTTCATCCCTTATTTTGGCTCCATTTCCTGGGAATGAGCGGCCGGGTCTCGTCCCTTGACACGGCAGAAATTCCAGAAGGAACCTGGGAGCCCTCGGTGTCCCCCAGGAGGGTTTGGCTGGCAGCTGGGGGTGCAGGAAATCTTCTGTATTTATCATCTCCCCGGTTTCGCCGGGACACGGCCACAAATCAGCCCCGAAAATCCAATCCCGGGGAAAAGGTTGGGAATTTACAGCGCTCCGAACACCGCGGGTTTATCCTTTCATGCTGCTGCTTTATGTATTTCTCTCCCTCCAACCCTATTTATTTCCTGTTTATTGGCCCAGCCTCCCCTAATTTATGTTTTCATTACTTTGATTAACGCTCTGCTCCCCTGACATCGTTATTCCGGCGCAGTTTCCCGCGCGCCTTCCCCAAACCCTCGGTGTTAAATAATCCTCGGATTTAGCCGGGATGATTTGTAATTTAATAAGCGGCTCCACCGCCGTGTTTTATCTCCTAATTGGGCCGGAATTAGCAGCAATTCCGGAATTAACACAAATTATGGGATGCCCCTTGTTGTTACACGCGGTTTTATTGGGTTGAAACAACAGCTTTAGGAATTATCTGAGCCGCGTTCCCCAATTCTGGGCGTGATTCATTTCTGGATCGTCCACGGGTGACAGCTCAGGCAGGAATTGCTGCCGTGGAGGGGATGCTGCTCCTGAGGAGGGCAGGAAGGAAGGAAGGAAGGAAGGAGAGCTTTGGTCTCCAGGTGGTTTAATTTCATTCCCTCATTATCATTTAGGGAACGTGATGCGTCTTGTTCTCCCGGTCCGTCGTGCCCGCTCGGCTTCTTCCTGAAACAATTCCCAGATCTGCGTCTGCGAGGAGCTGCAGACGCCTCAGGTCTGGGTCCAGCCAGAGCTGAGCGTCCAGAACATCGGGAAAAGTGGGAAAAGGGGAATTGTTCAGGTTGGGAAAGCCCGCTACGGTCACTGAGTCCCAGCAGTGACCCAGAGAGAGGAGAAAGGAAAGCAAGGATTTTCCCAAAGGTGGGATCTGTTTTTCCCAAAGGTGGGATCTGTTTTTCCCAAAGGAGGGATTTGTTCTTCCCAAAGATGGGATTTGTTTCTTTTTCCCAAAGATGAGAATTGTTTTTCCCAAAGATGGGATTTGTTCTTCCCAAAGATGGGATTTTTTTTATTTTTTCCAAAGATGGGAATTGTTTTTCCCAAAGATGGGAATTGTTTTTCCCAAAAATGGGATTTTTTTTCTTCCCAAAGATAGGATTTGTTTCTTTTTCCCAAAGGTGGGATTTGTTTTTCCCAAAGATGAGATTTGTTCTTCCCAAAAATGGGATTTGTTTGTTTTTCCCCAAAGAGGGCATTTGTTCTTCCCAAAGATAGGATTTGTTTATTTTTCCCAAATATGGGATTTGGTTTTCCCAAAAATGGGATTTTTTTTTTCCCAAAGATGAGATTTGTTTACTTTTTCCGAAGAGGGGATTTGTTTTTCCCAAAAATGGGATTTTTTTTCTTTTTCCCAAAAGAGGGGATTTGTTCTTCCCAAAGATAGGATTTGTTTCTTTTTCTCAAAGAGGGGATTTGTTTTTCCCAAAATGGGATTTTTTCCTCACAAAGATGGGGTTTGTGACCATTCTTCACACCACAACAATCCGGATCTCCCCATTTCCTCCACTTTTCCTTCTTCCTCTCCCCTTTGGCTCTGGCATTTCTGGGGTCTCAATCCCCGTTCCTCCCACGCCCGAAATGTTCCTTTAAAAGGGGGACCAAAACGGCCTCAAGGACAGGAGCGTTCCCAGCTCGCGGGAAGCCAACAGGGCTGTCCCCATCCCGGCTGATTTTCCTCCTTTTGTTCGCAGCTCCAGCCCCCGGCGGGGAGGAGGAGGAGGGAGGAGGAGGAAGGATCCCTCATCCGGTAAATCCGGCTGTTTCCCAGCTGTTCCGGGCTGGGCTGCGGGCAGCGGGGCAAGGTCCGCGCTCTGCGAAGCCAGCTGTCACCTCGGGTGTCACCCGAGCGGCTGCCGGGGCTGGCACTGCTGAGGAGGCCGATTTTGGGTCAAAAAAGTGGGAAAAATGGGTGGGAGCTGCTGGGCTGGAGGAGTGGTTCCTTCTCCTCTCCCCGTCCTCATTTCCATCCCATCCACCTCTGGAAAATCCAGGTGTCACCCAAAGCTGCTGCCGGGGGTGGCACTGCTGAGGAAGCCAATTTTGGGTCAAAAAGTGGGAAAATGGGTGGGAGCTGCTGGGCTGGGCTGGGCTGGGTGGAGGAGTGGTTCCTTCTCCTCCTCCTCCTCTCCCCATCCTCATTTCCATCCCATCCACCTCTGGAAAATCCAGGTGTCACCCGGAGCTGCTGCCGGGCAAACTGGAGGGGAATTTTGGGTCGATTTAGGGTATTTTGGGTCAAGCTGGGGAATTTTGGGTCAAGCTGGGGAATTTTGGGTCCCTGAGCAGGGTGGGAGCTGCGGGCTGGCGTGCAGGACCAGGAACGTTGTCCCGTTCCCAGCACAGGACAATTCCACCATCCCAGGGTGTCCAAGCCCCGTCCAACCCCTCCAAAACCTGAATTCCACAGGGAGGACACCCAGGGATGGATGAAGAGGGGGGATGGAGGAGGAGGAGGAGGGGTCAGGGGTGGATGAAGAGCCGGGAATGTGGGAAAGGGAAAGGGAAGGAGGCTGCTGCCATCTAGAGCAGCCCAGCCGAGCTCCCCGTTCCCGGAGATGCTCTGGGGAGAGGCTGAAGCCGGGAAATTCGGGAAAAGCCGAATTGCCAAACTCGGGGAGCGCCTCTGTGCCCGCGGCGCTCGCAGGACAATTAATTAATGATGAGAAACAGGCGAGAAAATCCCATTTTCACCCCAATCCTCGCTGGAAATGTCTGTCCCCGCGGATGAAGCAGAGCCGGAGCCAGCCAAGGGCTCAGAAAGGGGAAGAATGCTAAAAAAAAATAATAAAAAAAAATAAAAATAGGGAAGGGAGAAAAGGGAACGGAAAAGCCCCAAAAAGTCTTCGAGGATTTTGATGAGGTGTCCCCAGACCGCAACCCCACAGGACGGGCCGGGGGGGAAGCGAAAGCCGCTCGGAGATGTCCCCAAGGCCACACGCTCCCGGTGTCCCCGGTGTGCCCCGCCCGAGCCCTGTGTGCCGCGGGATCGCCGTGTCCCCCCGGTGTTCTCCGTGTCCCCCCGGTGTTCTCCGTGTCCTCCCGCAGTGTCCCCACGCCCCCGTGTCCCCCCCGTGTCCCCCCGGTGTCCCCGTCCCTTCGAGTCCCCTCCTCGGTCCTCCCGCCCGCCAGGGGGCGCTGGGACAGGGCGGAATGGGGGCGTGTCCCGGGATCTGTGGGCGTGTCCCGGTGCATGTGGGCGTGTCCCGGTGCCTGTGGGCGTGTCCCGGTCTGGGTCCGGTCCCGGTGGGCGTGCCCCGGTGTCTGTGGGCGTGTCCAGGTCCCGGTGGACGGTGCCGTGTCCCGGGGAGTGTCCCTGTCCCTGTCCCGGTCCCGGTGCCGCGTCCCGTTCCCGAGGCGTGTCCCGTTCACGGGGTGTGTCCCATCCCCGAGGCGTGTCCCGGTGCCGTGGGCGGGCCGCGCCGAGGCCGCCATGGCGCTGAGCGGGGCCCTGGCGCTCCGTGTCGCCTACGCGTCCTTCGGCGCCCTGAGCGGCCTCTCGGCCTTCTGCGCCTGGAGCGTCGTTCCCGCGCTGCGCCAGCCCGGCACGGCTGCGGCCGGCGGGCTCTCGGGTACGGCACCGGGGATACCGGGGACACCGGGGCCGGGGACACCGGGGCCGGGGGATACCGGGGTCGGGGGATACCGGGGCCGGGGACACCGGGCCGGGAAGGCTCTAGGTACGGCACCGGGGCCAGGGGCCACCGGGGATGAGGGGACACCGGGGCCAGGGGACACCGGGCCGGGCCGGGAGGGCTGAGCGGGGTCGCGGTGAGGGAGGGGATCGGGGCTGGGCCTGAGGGAGCGGGTCGAGGAGCCCCTTCCTCATTCCTGAGGGGCGTGAGGGGTGAGAAGAGCCCCGTCCTCGGCCCTGAGGGGGGTGAAGGGAGTGAGGAGCCCCTTCCCCATGGCTGAGGGGGCTGTGAGGGGTGTGAGGAGCCCCTTCCTCATCCCTGAGGGGTGTGAGGGGAGTGAAGATCCCCATCCTCAGTCCTGAGGGGTGTGAGGGTTGTGAGGAGCCCCTTCCCCATGGCTGAGGGGACTGAGGGGTGTGAGGGGAGTGAGGAGCCCGTTCCTCAGCCCTGAGGGGTGTGAGGGGGGTGAGGAGCCCCTTCCTCAGCCATGAGGGGGCTGTGAGGGATGAGGGGGAGTGAAGAGCCCCTTCCCCGTGGCTGAGGGGGCTGTGGGGGTGTGAGGAGCCCCTTCCTCATCCCTGAGGGGTGTGAGGGGAGTGAGGGGTGTGAGGAGCCCCTTCCTCAGCCCTGAGGGGACTGAGGGGTGTGAGGAGCCCCTTCCTCAGCCCTGAGGGGGCTGTGAGGGATCTGTGAGGGGAGTGAGGGTGATGGTGGGGCCGAGGAGCCCCTTCCCCGTGGCTGAGGGGAGGTTTGAGGGGGGATCTGAGGACTGAGGGGGCATTTGAGGGGTGTCAGGGCTGAGGGAGTGTCAACACAGCAGTTGGGGGCTGTCAGGGCAGAAACTGGGGGCTGTCAGAGCAGGAATTGGGGGGTGTCAGAGCTGAGGGGCTGTCAGGGCTGAGGGGGTGTCAGGGCAGGAATTGGGGGCTGTCAGGGCTCAGGGGGTGTCAGAGCAGCAATGGGGCCGAGCAGCCCCTTCCTCGGGGCTGAGGTTTTCAGGGAAGCAAAGAAATCCTCCTGATTCCCCCAAATGCTGCAAGCAGACCCTCCGAAAGAGGGGTTTGGGCTTCAGGGGTAAAACTGCACCTGAGCTGCCCAGGGATCTGGGAGATGTGGGGGTTTGTGGCTCTGGTTAATGGCTGGGGTGGAGCAGGACAGTGCTGCAGCTCCAGGGCTTCCCTGGCTGAATTCCTGCCAGAGGAGCAGCAGAAAGTGAAGTTAAAATTTAGAAAGGATCCAAGGGTGAGGTACAGGGCTGGGCTTGTCTCAAAATAAAAAAAAAAGCTTTTAATTCCAGCAGGAGCTGGGATTCAGCAGAGAATTCCCACACTTTGCTTTGCTGGGTGGCACAAAACTGGGGGGATCTTGAGCCAGAAATGCAGGAGAAAAGAAAAAAAAAACAAAAAAACACTTCATTTGCTCTTTCTGCTGTGTTTTTATTCTGGGAAGAATCTTGACAGAGGAATTTGGACAGAGGAATTTTGGGTGGAATTTTGACAGCAGAATTTGCAGATCCTCCTCAAAGTGCCCTGATTAAGCCAAGCTCTGCCTGTGGGCCCGTGTTTATCTCGTTTTTAATGCCTCTGCTGTGCCTTTGGATCTGTGTTTGAGGATGTTTATCCACAGCCTTCCTGGCTGGAAGAATTCCTCCTGGTTCTGAGGAATCTCCAGCTTTGTCTCTGCTATCAGTTTGTTGATATTTCCCTTATCTCCCAGAGACCCTTTCCTGCTTGGGAATCAGCCCTAAATTTCACTCATTCCCTGTTATTTACAGTCAAAACTTGAGCCAAGTCTGAAGTTCCATGGAGGGAAAACGAGGCTGGGGCTGGAATTAATGAAATTAAACCCCTTGTGTCCCAGGGGTTTAATTCCATTTCCACCCAGGCACAGGGGCTTGGGAGACTCTTGGAGAATTGTAAAAACACCTGAGAGATGGAAGGAGTGGGATCTGGTACAGCACCAGAATATTCCAAAGGCTCCTCTCCTTCCAGATATTTTCCTAAAATATCTCCCTTTTGGCAGGGAAATCCCCCCATTTTTGACCTGTTCCAAACCCAGCTGATGCTCCCGGGTTCCCCCAGGAGAGGCAAAGTTTGGCAAACATGGAAATGGCAAAATTTCGCTTGGCAAAGCTCCAGCTCCTGTTGGAGTGGGGATTTCAGCTCGTTCCAGCTGATGCTGCAGCTGGAGTGGATAAAAGGGGATTGTTTAGCTACAAAAGGACTGAAGGCTTTGTAAACACACAGAAAAAATCCTCAGTCTTGGAGCTGGTCCCCGTTTTCAGGGAGTTTTTAATGTCACTTTTTATTTTTACCCTCATTTTCTTTGCCATCAGCACACCTTTGGAGCTGGATGCTCCTTGCAGGAATGCTGGAGTCAGGGGGCTCCTTGCAGAATAAATCTGAATTTTTTGTTTATTTGGGGATTTTTTTTTTGTCTCTGCTGCAGATTTGTTGTTTTTCCCCAGGATTTCCATGTGGGCCACGTGGAACAATCCCAGAAAAACTCCCCTGGGGTTGAAGGATCCCTCCAGGAGGAGCAGGAGGCTGACAAAACCTCGTATTTGTCCCAGTTTTTGTTTGGATGTTTGCAGAGAGGGAAAGTTTGTTTCCCGTGAGCTCAAACAACCCAAATATTATCCAAATATTTGGGTGTGATGGGGGAAAATCATTCCCCTGCCCTGCCTGGAACTTCTGGGATTTCTTTCAGCTCCCTCCAAGGGTGCTGGGAGGTTTTTGTGTTTTACCCAGGAATTGATCTTGCCCTGATACCTGCGAGCTCCTCTCTCCTTGGGGCTGTCTGGGGCCCTTTCCTTGTTTTGTATCCTGGGATGATCTGGGTTTGATTCCCTGGCTCCAGGGCCCTCGGGTTTGGGGTAAATCCACAGGGATTTGTGGTTTTCTGAGGGGCTTGGGTGGGACTGGAGCTGTCTGGGCTCTGGGGTTTTGTGCCCTGGCTCAGGCTTTAGGGACAAGGTGCTTTAGGGCAGCAGGGCTGGGTTTGGGGCAGTCCCTGGGCTGAAAACCTGCAGCTCCTGCAGTCAGTCTCCCCCAGCTTTCAAAGGTCACAACTTGTACTTCATTTCCCGCTAAAAACGGTTTAAAACCCTGAGTTTTTCAGGTGATGTTTTGGCCCAGAGCTGCCTCTGGAGAGCTGGGCCAGGGCTTGGATCGGGGATTGGATTAGAACTGGATCAGGGTTTGGGTCAGGGTTTAGATTGAGCCTTGGGTTAGGGTTGGGATCAGGGTTTGGATTGGAATTGGATCAGGGTTTGGATCGGGGTTTGGATTGGAACTGGATCAGCGCTTGGATCAGGGTTTGGGTCAGGGATTGGATCAGGGCTTGGGCCTGGGCTTGGATTAGAGTTTGGATCAGGATTTGGATTGGAATAGGATCAGGGTTTGGGGTCAGGGTTTGGGTCAGGGTTTGGATCAGGGTTTGGGGTCAGGGTTTGGGTCAGGGTTTGGGGTCAGGGTTTGGGTCAGGGTTTGGGGTCAGGGTTTGGGTCAGGGTTTGGGGTCAGGGTTTGGGTCAGGGTTTGGGGTCAGGGTTTGGGTCAGGGTTTGGGGTCAGGGTTTGGGTCAGGGTTTGGGGTCAGGGTTTGGGTCAGGGTTTGGGGTCAGGGTTTGGGTCAGGGTTTGGGGTCAGGGTTTGGGTCAGGGTTTGGGGTCAGGGTTTGGGTCAGGGTTTGGGGTCAGGGTTTGATCAGGGTTTGGGGTCAGGGTTTGGATCAGGGTTTGGGTCAGGGTTTGGCTTGGAACAGGATCAGGGTTTGAGTCCAGGGAACTCGAGGCGCTCTGGTGCAGCAGCAGCGATGTTGGGGCGGGAGCAGCAAACCTTGACTCAGCATTCAGGGCAGTTCTGCTGAGTCATCCGGGCAGGCTCAGCGGGGAACAGCTTTTTGCTGACTCCAAACCCAAAGTTCCCCATTTCTGTAGGAAATGTGGCTCAAAAGTGCTGAAACCCAGGGCAGCAGGAAGTGGGGCAGGTGGATTTTGGGGAACTTGGGGCTCAGCTCTGTCACCAGACCCTGGCACAGTTTGGGGTGTGATGACTCTGCAGCTGTGGCCACGGGATCTGCCCCAATCCCAAATCCCTCCCGCCAGCCTGGGGACCCCCAGCACGGGGGGATTGCTCATGGGGTGTCCTGTGGGGGTCCCGGGTGGGAACCCAGCCTGTCCTGAGCAGGGAATGTGGGCAGGGGGGCAGCAGGTCCTGGTTGGGCAGGAGGGGCTGGGGGGCTGTTCTGATGTCCCTGCTGTCACCTGGACAGGTGTGCTGCTGTTCCCAGCTGTTCCCAGCTGTTCTGGGGGGTTGGGCTGTGCTTTACCTGTCCATGGGTGCTGTTCTGATGTCCCTGCTGTCACCTGGACAGGTGTCCAGCTGTTCCCAGCTGTTCTGGGGGGTTGGGCTGTGCTTTACCTGTCCATGGGTGCTGTTCTGATGTCCCTGCTGTCACCTGGACAGGTGTGCTGGCGCTCTGGGCCCTAATCACGCATGTGATGTACCTGCAGGATTACTGGAGGACCTGGTTAAAAGGGCTGAGGTTCTTCCTCTCCGTCGGGATCCTCTTCTCTGCCCTCTCCGGGCTGGGCTTCTGCGCCTTCCTGGCCCTGGCCATCACCCAGCACCAGTGTGAGTACTGGGAGGGACTGGGGACACTGGGGGGTGGGGACAGAGCAGGGCTGGGGGTGCTCCTGCCACCTCCTCTTCTGGGGACAGCCTGCAGGGATGTCACCGCATTTCCCTGCCCTGCTGTGACATCCAAAAAACCTGGAATTGCCTCATTTCCATGACAAAGCTCCCAAAAAAACCTGGAATTGCCTCATTTCCATGACAAAGTCCCCCCAAAAATCTGTGAATTTCTTCATTCTCATTACAAAGCCCCCCAAAAACCTGGGAATTTCCTCATTTCCACGGCAAAGGTCTCGGCCATCCCTCCTGGAGCAGCTCCAAGCCCAGCCTCGGTGCTGACTCAGCATTCCCAGCTCCCAACCCTTGAACATTCCCTAAGGAATGGTTCCAGATCCCTGCCGCGATTTCCTTGGCCCAGACCAAAGGGAGAACGTTTGGGCCTTGTTTTCTTGGAGGTTTTCTGTGTTTGTTGTTTGCTCAGAAGCCCCACGGGGTTGTTCTGGGGGTCACAACCCAAAAACATCCCTTGGCTCAGCCTGAAGAAACTCCCCGTGGAGTTTTCCTGCTGCAAAGGGATGAAAATCCACGTGTGAAATCCTTAAAAATACAGCTATGAAAGGAAAACCAAATATTTGCCATCCCCTCCTTTCTTGGAAAATTGTTTGGGGAGGAAATTGGGGTTTTTAGGGAAAGTCTTATCCCCACAATTTTTAGGGAAATCCAGGGGTCCCCACAATCCAGGGATCCCCATGATCCAGGAATCCCCTAAATCGAGGGATCCCCATGATCCAGGAATCCCTATGATCCAGGAATTCCCACACATCCAGGAATCCCCACAATCCAGGAATCCCCACATTCCAGGAATCCCCACGATCCAGGAATTCCCATGAATCCCAGAATCCCCACAATCCAGGAATTTCTACAAATCCCAGAATCCCCACAATCCAGGAACCCCCACAGCCCAGGAATCCCCACAAATCCAGGAATCCCCACAAATCCAGGAACCCCCGCAGCCCAGGAATCCCCACAGCCCAGGAATCCCCACAAATTCCTGAATTCCCACAAATCCCATCCCTGAACCAGACTAGCTCTGAACGCGGCTGGCAGAGCCGGGGAAATCCTCCCATTCCCGTGGAATTCAGGGCACACCGAGCTCCCAGGGGCTGGAATTCCCACAAATCCCTGTTTTCCCCCAGCCCTGACTGACCCCAAGAGCTGTTACCTGTCCCTGTTTTCCCCCAGCCCTGACTGACCCCAAGAGCTGTTCCCTGTTTTCCCCCAGCCCTGACTGACCCCAAGAGCTGTTCCCTGTTTTCCCCCAGCCCTGACTGACCCCAAGAGCTGTTCCCTGTCCATTTTCCCCCAGCCCTGACTGACCCCAAGAGCTATTACCTGTCCTGCGTGTGGAGCTTCATGGCGCTGAAGTGGGCGCTGCTGCTGAGCCTCTACTCGCACCGCTACCGCGCCGAGTTCGCCGACATCAGCATCCTCAGCGACTTCTGAGCCTCCCAGAAAGGTGTGAGAGGCGTGGGCACGGGGCCGGAGCCCCTCCCGGGGCTGGCTGGCTGTCCGTCCGTCCGTCTGTCCGCACAGAGGGGCTTTTCCTGCTGGCTTTTCCTCGCTCGTCGCTGCTGGTTCTGGGAGGAGGGAGGGAGGGAGGGAGGGGAAGGGCTCCCGGAGCATTCTGTGGTGCCACAGGGGTGGCAGTCCCCACCCTTGTCACTGCCCTGCTCCTGTGTCACCTCTCTGCTCCAGGGGAAGGGCCCAGCTGAGCTCCCAGCCAGGTCCTGCCTCTCCAGGGCTTTGGGGTTTGGGGCAGCCGAGGAGCACAGCTGATCCCAAAGCTGGGAATGCTGCCCCTGGCAGAGCACAGCTGATCCCAAAGCTGGGAATGCTGCCCCTGGCAGAGCACAGCTGATCCCAAAGCTGGGAATGCTGCCCTGGCAGAGCACAGCTGATCCCAAAGCTGGGAATGCTGCCCCTGGCTGGTGAGCACATCTCATCCCAAAGCTCATCCCAAAGCTGGGAATGCTGCCCCTGGCGGAGCACAGCTGATCCCAAAGCTCATCCCAAAGCTGGGAGTGCTGCTCCTGGCAGAGCACAGCTCATCCCAAAGCTCATCCCAAAGCTCCCAGGCTGGTTTTCAAAAGGAGTGGGATCCCGTGTTTAACCATAAATGCTGTTTATTTACCACTTGAAGTTGCAGCAGCAGGTGTGTGGGGAAAAGGTGTTGGGGGGAAAGGGGTGCAGGGCCAGGGCCTGCCCTGCCTGAGCCTCAGGGAGAGGATTCCTGGGGAAAAAAACAGAGAAAAAATGTTTTTGTGGAAGCAGAAGGAGAGGGGAGGGGACAGGGGCTGCTCAGGTGACCCCATGGGTTGAGGAGCATCTTTGGGGTGAGGCTGTGACGTGCTGGAGTCCCTAAACCCAGCCCCTGGGCCACGTTGTAGCCCTGGAGTCCCCACCCCACATGCCAGCTTTTTAAAGGATGCTGTGTGTAAATATTCCCTCTATTTTTACATGGATTCCTCCTGGTTTGCACCTCGGGGGTGCCGGGGTCGGTGCCACCCTTGCTGTCACCCTGTGCCACCACAAATACAGCCCTCCCTCACCAGCCTGGCTGCCCTGGAGTTCCCTGGGGAACTGGGAAGGACGGGTGGGAATGGCACCTTCTGGGGTGATGGGGAGGGTTTAACCCCTCACTTCCTCAGCCACAGGGAGTCTGAGGTGGATTTTCCCCTCACAAATCCCTCGGGATTCGGGCATTTCAGCCCAGAGGGATTTTTGGGGAAGTGGTGGTGATTCCACCCCTTCTCCCTGGAAATGAGTGAGGGGCAGGGGGGGCTTTGGGGTCAGCCCTGAGTTCCCATTCCGCGCTGTGGGGTGGGGTCCAGGGGAGGGGACACGTTGGGGACACCGGGGACACTCAGGGCTTTGGGGTCAGCCCTGAGTTCCCATTCCGCGCTGTGGGGTGGGGTCCAGGGGAGGGGACACGTTGGGGACACCGGGGACACTCAGGGCTTTGGGGTCAGCCCTGAGTTCCCATTCCGCGCTGTGGGGTGGGGTCCAGGGGAGGGGACACGTTGGGGACACCGGGGACACTCAGGGAGCCCCGGGTGCAGGGCCCGCAGGAGCCGCCAGGGGGCGGCAGTGGCACAGCCCGGGCTGGGGGGGGCGAACGAGACCCCAAAAGCACCTGGGACACCCCAAAACCGGGGACACCCCCAAAACAGGGACAGCCCTGTGCCCGGGGGCCGCCGAGGAGCTCAGCGTGGCCCTGCAGGGGTGGCCCAGGTCCCCACAAGGACCCAGCCCTGGGCTGAGGGAAGGATCCCAGCTGGAATTCCCATTTCCTGGCACTGGGACAGGAGGGGACAGAGGTCCTGCTGGCTCCAGGAAGACTCAAATCCATCCCCTCACCCTGACCCCTTCTCTCCCCACAGCCCCCACCAATCCCAGCCGCCCTGTCCCATTCTCTGGCTGCACCAGCCTTTCCCAGCCCCATTTTTCATGGAATTGCCCATTTTTCCCTTTGCATCATTCCTCACGCCCTGGGGCTGGGCAGCCTGAGGAATCTCCAGGAACTGGGGAGCCTCTGCTGGATTTTGGGGGGTATTGAGGGTCATGGAGGGCTCCTGTGGCTCCCACTGTCACCAACACCTCCCTGGGACCCACTGGGGGGGTCTCGGCACCTCCCCAGGGTCCAGCAGTGACCCCAATCCCACTTTTCCTGCCCGTGGAGGGATTCAAAGGCACCCGAAGGGAGCCACAGGTTTTTTGCATTTTCCCAATCTGCTCTCAAGATGTGGCGAGGGCGGAAGCGGCGCCTCCAAGGCTCCGGATGAGCCTCGTGGGGCTGGGGACCCTCCAGGTGCCTTTGGGGGAGGGGGGCGCTGGGGACACTGTCCTTGTGTGCAGGGACAAAAATCCCGGCTGGGTGTCCCCAGCGTGGCCCTGGGGCTGCAGCAGAGGGGTCCTGGGGCTTCCAGAGGGTGGTGCTGGATTGGGGACAGGCTGGGCTTGGGGACAGACGTAGAGGGACCTGCAGGAGGGTCTGGGGACAGACCCAGAGGGACCCGCAGGAGGGTCTGGGACAGACCCAGAGGGACCTGCAGGAGGGTCTGGGACAGACCTAGAGGGACCTGCAGGAGGGTCTGGGCTCGGGGACAGACCTAGAGGGACCTGCAGGAGGGTCTGGGGACAGACCCAGAGGGACCCGCAGGAGGGTCTGGGACAGACCCAGAGGGACCTGCAGGAGGGTCTGGGGACAGACCCAGAGGGTCCTGCAGGAGGGTCTGGGGACAGACCCAGAGGGTCCTGCAGGTGGCTGTTCCCAGGGGGATCCTTCCCCTGGAAGTCTGTGCCATTCCCTGGGAATGAGGGCTAGCAGGGTGAAGTGCACAGGCACGGACAGGAGCGTGTCCCAGACCTTCCAGGACACCAGGATGTCACCACACGTGGTGTCCCTGCTCCCTGGACGCGGCGCTGGATTCGCCCTTTGTTCCCCAGCTGGGAAAAATCAGCAAATCCCCCAAATTCCACCTCGCTCACAGCATCCTGAGCATCTGGAGGAGTCCCTGAGGAAGGGCTTGGGGCTGGAGCCAGGAATCCCAAAGGAGTGTCCTGGCTCCCAGGGGCCGTGTCCAGCTGGGAGGGTGCCGGACACACGGACACGAGCCCAGCCCTGCTGCCATTCCCGGGGAATCCTCGTGCTCCAGGAGGCTCCTCGGGCGAGAAGCAGCTCTGGGATTAAAGATCCCTAAAGGATCTTCAGGATTTGGTGTCGGGATGAACTCACCGGAGCTGGGGGAGCTGGGACAGAGCCAGGGGCTGGGAGAGGGGGGGAGCGTCACACACAGAACTGGGAATGGTTATTTTTAGGACAATTCTCAGCTTGGAGAGCAACCAAGGGAATAAAACGGTTCAATATGGGCCCAGTGCTTAACGAGGAGGCTGAAAATCCCCAGGCTGGGATAGCTGGGAAGGGCCTTTGGGATGGGGTTTGGGGTTTGTGGAGAGCCCAAAGGGGCCAAGGCAGAGGGGTCATTGGGGGGTCCCGGCCCCTCCGGGGTCCCTCTGCTCCTTCCCATCCTGGAGCTGGGCTGGAACCACTTCCCATGGAAGGGTCACTGCTTCTCTTCCTCCTCATCCAGGAGTGGGAGAGAAGGACGTGGGGAATGGGCTGGAATAACGACCAGGGGGAAGCAGCAGCCCTGCTCCTCCTGCCTGTCCCTTGGGGTGGCTCTGCCTCACTTTGCAGTGGCTTTTACCCCTTTTATTGGCTGATAAACCCCAAAATCCATCCCCGCCAGCCCTCAGGAAACCTCAAATTCCACAAGACCCCCTGGTCCCCCCGAGAACCCCCAGTCCCCACGACACTGGGACATTTCTCTTTTCCAGCCTGGAAAAAACCTTTTTATTCCTTTGATTCCTGGTGATGGAGGAGATGAGGAGCTGGAGGATTCCCCTTCCCTGATGGAGAAGGATCAACCCTTTGGAAAACCAGGAGAGGAGGAGCCCTGGGGCGCTCGTGGCTCCGTCCCTTCCTCCTCCACCTTGTCACAAACCCCAAAATTCAACTCTACATTCTGCAGCCCCGAAAATCTGGGAGCTTTGAGCTGCTTCATCAACCCCATAAAGCCCAACAATCGGAGAGAAACCCAACCCCAGCCCGGCCTCCCCCCGCCCGCTCCGTGCACATCAAACGCCTTTTAACCGGAATAGAATTTCCTGGGACGAAATGAGGAAAATCTGTCGCTCGCATCCGCCCGGCAGCCGCTGCCCCGCCCCAGGCTCGTCCTGCAGGAGCTTTTCCCTCCCCGTCCCACTGCCCTCATCCCCCCCAGCCCAGGGAGCCCCTCGGGGAGCCCGGAGCCCTCTCGGGCAGCCCCGGGAATCTGCTGCGGGGTCCCTGTGCAGGCGGGCAGGAAATGGGCCCCTGCAGCCCCGCTCCGGAGCTCCGGAGCTCCGGGAACTCGTTCCAGCCGCCGAGGGAGAGTTTTCCTTTCATCTGCGGCCAGGAGTTGAGCCGGGCCTTTCGTCTCTCCCCAGCCACGGCTTTGAAGGCTCCGGGGGTGTCCCAGATGTGCTGCGGGGCTGCGAGGGGGTGGGGGCGGCTCTGGGAGAGCGGGGTGCATCCCCTGCTGCTGCCAGGAACCCCCACCCTGGATGGTCTGAGGGGCTGGGGACACCCTGGCCTAGGGGACATCCATGGTTTGCAGCTCCAGGGGCTTTTCCAAGCCCCCTCTGGGCTCCAGTTTGGCCCAGCAGGGAGGCAGGAAGCGGAGTCCCAGAAAAATAATTCAGCGTTACCCTGGGATGTGGTTCCATCCATGGATCTATCCAGGGATCCATCCATGGGTCCATGGGTCCATGGGTCCATCCATCCACCCATGGATCCATCCATCCATCCATCCATCCATCATCCGTCCATCCATCCATCCATCCATCCGTCCATCCATCCATCCATCCTCCATCCATCCATCCATCGTCCATCCATCCATCCATCATCCATCCATCCATCCATCCATCCATCCGTCCGTCCGTCCATCCATCCATCCTCCATCCATCCATCCATCCATCCATCCATCCATCCATCATCCATCCCTCCGTCCCTCCATCCTCCATCCCTCCATCCATCCATCCGTCCATCCATCCATCCGTCCATCCCTCCCTTCTCTCCACAGCCCCATCCCGCTCACAGGCTCTGCTGCTCGTGGATAAGATCCCAAGGAAAACTGGGATTTACTGCGGGTTCTCCAGTGTCTCCCTCTTCCCCTGGATGGAACCCAGCTCTGGTTACCCCTGGGATAAAAAAACCCTAAATTTTCTTCCCATTTTTGCTCTCTCCCCGTTGCCATCCCCAAATCCCGGCTGGTTTGCCGTGAGCAGGAGCGTGGGGGATGAGGTTGTGCGGGAGCAGCACCCAGGGTCTGCTCCATGGGGAGGATCTGGGAAGGGACCGCCGGTGCAAATTCCCCCCTGCCCTCCCAACACCGCATTTCCTGGGTTTTTCCAGAGGGTTTTCCCCTCCTGGATGGAACAGAACCCCCCACAAATGTTTGTCTGGTTGCTAAGGGCGCTCCTGGACTCCTCTTTCCCACAAATTCTTGAGCGGGTGATGATTCCCACAAATTCCTGAGCTGATCCTGTGGCTCAGCGTGGGGCAGGCCGAGGTCGGCATGGATTTTTTGGGGATTTTTTCTGGATCTGCCCCAGCTCCCTGCACACAAACCCCACTGATTTTCCCAAGTCCAATTCCTTTTAAATGGAACAACGAGGTTCAGTGCACCAGGGGTGGAAAAAAAAATCTAATTTTCTGGCTTTGTTGGGATTTTTATTGGGATTGGGAATCCTGTGCAGGAGAGAGTGGGGAGACAAAGGGCATGGATGCTCTCAGAAGGAAAAGGTGAGTGAAGGAAGGATGAGGAGACAGCTCTGGATGCCTGGAATTGGAGTCAGAGGTGCCCAGGAGTTGGATGCTGGAGGATCTGAGCCCAGCCTTGGACACTCCCAGGGGTTTTGATTCGCTCCCGAGGTGCAGGACAGGAGCTTCCACTCTCTCCTCCCCGTTTGTCCCCTCCTGTCCCCTCCCCAGCCCCTGGGAACCCCTCCCTGGGTGGCTCCAGGGTGACAAAGCAGGAGGAGAGACCTGGAGGAAATGGGAGAAGCTCCTGGGGACATTTCTTCCCAGCAGGATCCTGAGGGATCTGCGGCAGATCCGGGCAGGATCCGGGGTCGGTGCCGACCCAAGGGCAGCTCTGGGAAGGGCTCGGAGGGGCTGAGCCGGGGCTGATCCCAACATTTCCAACATTCCCAACATTCCCAGCTCCGTGCTGGGAGAGCTCAGGACAGTTCCTGGCAGCGGGACCCCGATCCCAGCTTTGATGGCCAGATGGGGGAGAAAAGGGGGGAAGGAACTTTCACGTGTCGGAATTAAGTGGAACAGGATGGGCCCAGCCGGGGATGGGGGACGGCACCCACAGGGTCCCTCCCTCGCCTCACCCCACGGCTCATCCCGACCCCATCCCTCAGGAGAACTCCGGGATCGCTCCCATTGCCCCCAGGACCCCCTGCACCCCCCGGGACCCCCTGACCGCCGAGCTCTGACAGATCCCGGCGCGTTCCAGGAGCGTGAGGTCAGCGCGGCGGGGAAGAGGCTCCAGGGCCATCCATCAGCCGGGATCAAAGCCCCGCGGGTTCCCCTTCCCAGCGCCATCCCAGCGCCCCAAATTCCCCGCGGTTGCCGCGGCAACCACACGCGGCGCGGATGCTCCGCGTTTTTTGGCCGCCCCGCAGCTGTTTCCACTCGAGGCCGCCGTAACTGGAAAAACCTGCGGGTCTCGAGGCGCTTCCCGGCCTCCAGGGGCAGCGGCTGTTCCCGGCTCCCTTTCATCTTCCCCATTTATCAGCCTTATCCTCTTTTTTTTGTTGGTTTTTTGTTGGTTTTTTTTCTTCACGCGGGATGAAACGGGGATTATTTTTGTCCTCCGGAACAAAGAAAAGGAGCTCGGAAAGAAAATCTCAAAACGAAGCGAAACAAAACCCTCTGAGAGCACCAAATGTTTCCCCAGCACTGCCAAGGCCACCCTGGCCATGTCCCCAAGTGCCACCTCCACTTTGAAATCCCCCCAGGAATGGGGGCCCCACCCCTGCCCTGGGCTGGAGGGTCCTGCCCAGGAGGAATTTTCCCAATGTTTCCTAAACCCTTGGTGGCACCACTCGAGGCTGTTTCCTGCTGTCCTGCCCCTCGTCCCCTGGGAGGAGATTCCCCCAAAAAGCCCCAGAATCCTCCTGGGGGGTGATGGATGTGAGGAGGTGGGGGGAAACCAGGAGGGGACGTGTCCAGAGGAGCCTTGAATTGGTGGGAATTGGGAATTCAAATCTCCCATCCGGTGACTTCTCCCTGAGTCAAGTGAGCTGGGCTTGGCTCAGTTGGTTTTTGTTTTTTTTTTTTCTTTAAGGCTTGAAATTTTCCCTGATGTGTCAAAAGCAGCACCAGAAAAACCCCCAGCGAGCTGGAGGAGTTATTGAAACCACTTTGGTGCCTCGTGACCTTTCCATGAGAAGTTTGGATGAATATCCTCCCAAAAAAACACTCACTGAAAGAACAAATTGAAATGTTTGAGGGAAAAGCCACAAACCCTCCAAATGTGGGGACAAAAGCCCCTTGGGGTGTGGGGCTGCTCCTTCCTGCACTTCAAAGCTCATTGTGTTCCTCCCTTGGCTCCGGGATCCCAGCCCCGATCCCAAACCTCCCCTCCCCCAGCCAGAACCCTTCTCCTGGTGAAATTCAATTCAATTTTATTTTCTTTTAAAAGGAAAACAATAAAAAATAAAAAGAATTAATTAAGGAATAAAGGCCAGGCACAGGCTGAGCCTCAGCTGGGGCTGGTGGCAGCTCCCCAGCCCTCTGCAGCGCTGCTGGAGCAGAGGGCTCCAGATCCGGCCCCAGTCCTGTCCTGGGGGATTCCCAGAGAGGTCCTGCCCTTCCCCTTCCCTTCTTCTTGTTCCCCTTCCTCTTCCATTTCCTCTTCCTTTTCCACCCGGGAGCCACTGGATTTACTCTACAGAAATTTGGTGATGGATGAGGATGATGAGGAATGCCAGGAATGGAGGCAGGGGAGGGATGGACGGACGGAGGGATGGATGGATGGATGGATGGATGGATGGATGGATGGATCCATGGGTGGATGGATGGATGGATGGATGGGTGGGTGGATGGAGGGATGGCCTGGTGGATGGACAAATGGACACAAACTCAAGCTCATTTTGACCAAAGCCTTTCCTCAAGAGCCCTACGGATGCCGATCTCCCTTTGGTTGCTTCTTCCTTCGCATTTTGGGAGTTCCTGACCCGCTCATCGCAACCCCTGCGGCTCCACATCCCCACCTGGCTCCCTCACAGGTGAACGTCTCCTCCTCCACCCCTAACAAGGCGACATTTCTTTGTGGGGTCAACTGGGTTGAAAAATCATTTTCAAAGCCACCGCTGAGCTCCATGGCTGGGGCTCCCTTGGCACCGAGAAGGTCCCTGACATGCGGGCGGCAGCCGGAGCATCTGTGCCGGAGGGCTCGGGGTGGCGGTGGGGAGGGAGAGAGGAAATCTGGAACCCATAAGCTCCAGAGCCGCTGGCGTTCCCCTGCATTGGTCTGCGCCTGGTCCGCCCCCGCCCCGCTCGCCCTATCAGCAGGAGCCGTTCCCGAAGTCATCCCAGCGCCCTCCTCTCCTGGCCCAAAGGAGAAGCCAAGGAGCTCCTTGGAGGGCTCTGCGGGGCTTGGGGCGCCCGGGGAGCCCCGAGGGCGAATGCTCCGGGCCGCGCCTCGGGAGCCACGGCCGGCTCCTCCGCAGCCCGGGGAGCCGAGGAGATGAAGGAGGAAAACCTTTCCCCGGGGTCCCCCGAGGGCAGCGCGGCCACCAGCGAGGACGAGGCCGAGCGGCTGCCCAGGAAGAGCGGCCGCAAGCGCGGGCAGGGCCCCGGCGGAGCCCCCTCGCCCCAGGGCAAGCGCAGCCGGCGCAGCCCGGCCCCGCAGCCCCCCGAGGACGCCCACGCCCAGCGCGTCATCGCCAACGTGCGGGAGCGCCAGCGCACCCAGTCCCTCAACGACGCCTTCGCCGAGCTGCGCAAGATCATCCCCACGCTGCCCTCGGACAAGCTCAGCAAGATCCAGACGCTCAAGTTGGCCGCTCGCTACATCGACTTCCTGTGCCAGGTGCTGCAGAGCGACGAGCTGGACCACAAGGTCGCCACCAGCTGCAACTTCCTGGCCCACGAGAGGCTCAGCTACGCCTTCTCCGTGTGGAGGATGGAGGGCGCCTGGTCCATGTCGGCGTCCCACTGAGCCGGGTACGTGTGGCCGCGTCACCGCCGTGTCCCCGCGGTCTCCAGGGGTGTCCCAGCTCAATCCCACTGGGAATCGTGGCCGCCCCTCCTGGCACTCCAGGGACGAGGGATTTGTCCCATCAGACCCCAGAGCGAGAGGAGGTGGCGGTTCCTGAGCTGCTCTGGAGTGGCTGATCTCGCTCAGCAGGGGTGGGAAAGGTTCAAAAGGGAGTTTTTAAAATCTGGTTGATTCCCAGAAACCCTGGGAATTCTGGTTGAAACTCTGCCCTGGCCTTGTTGGGGCTGCTGAGGTGTCAACCCCGCCCTGCCCTGGGGTGGCCTCGTGTCCTCCTTCCCCCTGTTCCTCTCCCAGCGCTCTGCAGACAGGATGGGATCCGTGATCCCGTTGGATCCGCGGGAATCCTGCACTGCGTGGGGAAATCTGATGGACTCAGCTCCATCCTCAGCGTCCCTCAGGATGCTGAGAGGGGAATAATCCAAAATTCAGAGGTTTAGGGCTGGGCGGAATCGGGAACGGGAGGAGCGGGGTGGATGAGGCACCGGCACTTCCCGCAGAGCAGGAACAGAAAGTTCCAGAGGACATTCCCAAGCCAGGAGCTCCGGGGATGCCTCAGGGGACCCCGGCTCCCGAGAGGCTCCGCTGTCCCCAGCAGGACCAGGGCTCCTCCTGCCTCTCCTCGGGCACCAAACAGCCCCAAATCCGAGGCCGTGGAGGTGCCAGAGCTGGCTCAGCGTGCCGAGCGTCTCCCAGGGGATTTCCTGTCAGGATCGGCCACCTTGAAACTCCCTTTCCCAGCCAGATCCCTCCTGGCCAGCAGGAAATCTGACACTTTGCTAAATTCATCTGTAAATACCAATTTTTGGGGACAGACCCTGTTGTTTCAGACATTAAATCCTCTCCTTGCCAGGTCACCTCCCTTCGGGGCCGGCCAGAGGAGGAGCGCGTGGCCCCTTGTCCTCACTTTGGGATGCCCAAAATCCGCCAGGACCAGTCGGGGTGCTGACCCCCATTCCCTCCTGGACCCCTCACCCCCTTCTGGGTTTGGCACTTTGGGGTTGGATTCTCCAGTTTTGGGGGTGTTGCGGGGGCGCTCCCCAAAGACAGGGAAGCTGCTCGGCACGGCTTCATCCCGAATTTTGCCAAGCCTGACTAAAATCCCTTTGCCCTGGGGAGGTGGGGGAGGCTGAGCCCCCTCCCCAGCACCCCCAGACCCATTTCTGCTCCCTCTGTGTGCAGAACCCGACGCGGCTCCCAGAGCTGTTCATTTAAACCGAGTTCTTGGCAGAGCTGAGGGCTGAGCGGAGGGATGAAAGCCCCTTCAGTCACTTTGGAGAGCTCCCGTGAGCGCAGCGGGATCATCAATCCCCTTCAAATCCATCCCGAGCCTGCATCCTCCAGCTGGGGAGGGAATCGCCCTCCCCGGGCCAGCCTGCGGCGTTTTGGGGTCCCGGTGAACAATCCCAGCAGGGCAGGGAGGGAGAGGGAGGGGGATTCTCCCAGAAAACCCCAAAAGCAGCGAAGAGCCGCGGGAGAAGCGGTGCCGGGCTGGGGAGGCTCCGTCTCCCTCCTGGGGTGGGGAATGAACGCGGTGGGGTTGGGATTTCCTAATGGAAAGCAGCCCCTGGATGGTGGAACTCAGCTATTAAATATCAAAGAGGGCTGGGAAAGCTGGATGTGCCCTCGTTAACCAGGAGACATCAGCCGGGGAAAAAGAGGGATGGAGCCCTCAGGCAACAGAAATCACGTTTGAAGTTCCCCCAGCTCAGCTTTTCTCGGCAGAGTCTTGAGCACATTAAAATGGTTTCTTTCCCTGCCGGAGGAGAAAATGAGGCTGGAAGCTGGAAGTGCCGGGGGGAGAGGCTGGGAGCTGATGTTCCTTGCCCTTCATTTGTCTCCCTGGATTTATCGCCTCTCTCGCGTTGCCCTCACTTAATTGTCTCTCCTGAAAGACCTTGGATAAATCTTCCCTTTGGGGACTGTTGCTCTCGCCTGGAATCGGCTTTGTCTGGCGGCTGCTTCATTTGCTTTTATTTATAAACACCTCTCGCTGCTCCGGGGCACGGGGGGAGCTCGGGAACAGCTCCCATCCCTGTTCTCTATTCCCTATTCCCGATTATTATTTCCCTGCTCAGGAAATCCATCTCGAGCTGCTTTAAAATCCCCCGGATCCCTCTGCGGCCCGCCAGGAGAGCAGGGATCCCTTCCCACCCCAAACCAGTCCCTTAAAAGTGGATCCAGCCCCTGGTGAAAGTGCTCAGGGTGGTCCAGGACCCCCAGTTTGGGGCTGGGCTCTCAGGAGAGGTGAGGAGCTGCCGAAATCCCGAGAAATCTGTTCCTGGGTGGTTTGGTGCTCCTGGGGTTTCCTCCTGGAGCAGAGCAGGTTTGGAGGTCACAGGATTCCCCAAAATCTGCCCTTCCCAGAGCCGCTGTTTTCACTGGGGGTGGAAGGGGCAGGAGGAGCCGCCCTGGTGAGGGATGTGGGACATTCCCCAAAATCCCCCGAACTGGCACAGCCACAACCAGAGCTCTTTTTTCCAGAAAAAAAACCTCCACATTTTCATTAAAAACAGAAAAAAAAACCACCCAGGGGAGCTGAGCTGCTCTCCACGGCAGAGTCCCCGCACTGCTGAGGATTAGTTAAAATTAATCCAGACATAAAATCACGGATCCAGCCCTGGGGAACGGGGAAATATCTCCGGGTTTATGGCCCCTGCAAGCAGCCGGAGCTGCGGGAATGCCTCTGGAACGAGCCCGTTTTTCATCCCGGCTGTCAGGGAAGGCTCCCGGCAGCCGAGGGGAGCGAGGAGCTCCTGGCGTGACAAAGGATGCTGAGGGAGGGTGAGGAGGGAGCTCCGTGAGCTCCTTCATCCCAAATCCTGCAGGGCCGGGCTGCTCCCGAAGCCCTGGAATCCCCCGTGAGGGTTTTTTGGTGTTAAACCTTGTCCAGCCCTCTGGAGGATCCCAAAATCCTGCTGGGAAGGTGTTTTTTTGGGATCAGACCTCGCTGGGCTCAGGGAGCTGACCCCTTTTTCCAAGGCTGGGTTGAGATGGTCCCTCTGGAATTTTGGCTGCCCGTGCCCTCGTGCCCTGGATGTGCCATCACCCATCCCAAGGGCTCCACATCGGCCTTTGGGGGATTTTCCCCTCTGCCCCCACCCCCAGCACGACTCCTGGGGGTGAATTCCTGGAGGATTTGATTTATCCCTCCCCAGGCTCCTCTGCAGAGAGGAGAAGCGCTGGGCGAGCAGGAAACAGCCGGAGACAAAGCGGGAGGGGATGGAACAAAGCTGGAATAGAGCTGGAACAAAGCTGGAATAAAGCTTGGGGTGCCCAGTCCCACAGGGATCCATCCCCGGAGCCCATTCCTGCTCCACCCTCCAGCCTGGCTCCGGTGCCACCAGCCCTGCCCGGCTCCCGAGGGGCTCCCGAGGGGCTCCCGAGATCCCATCTGCGGGAAAAGCTGGGATTGGGGTGGTTTTAATTCCCAGCACATCCCTCGCGGCTCCGGGAAATCCGGGAATGCCGAGATCCAGAGGCAGCGAGGGAGGCTCTGCCCCCACTGGCTCCAGGGCATGGATTTGTAGGATTTTGGGAATCCCAGCCCAGCCTGACCCCACAGGATGGATTTGTAGGATTTTGGGACTCCCAGCCCAGCCTGACCTAACCCCACAGGATGGATTTGTAGGATTTTGGGACTCCCAGCCCAGCCTGACCCCGCTGTCTCCCCCCAGGTCTCCGCCTCGATGGAAGCAGCTCCAGCACCCAAAACCCCACAGGAGCCTCCCTGGAGAGAGGAGGGAATGACCCCCAAACCCCGACAGCCCCGGGGACCCCAAAAACTTTAGGGATGAGCCCGAGGGAGCCGCAGCAGGAGCTGCCTGGGGCTGCTTCAGGAACTCGGGGCCGTGATTCATTCGGGAAAGGATTGATCCCAATTCCTCCTCCGGGACTGCCGGGAAGCCGAGCCCCTCGAGCAGGAAAATCCCTCTGGGATGAGGGGAAGGGGAAGGGCTGGAGCCCCCCAAGGAGCCCTCCCAGGACCTCGGGGGTCCCCCCGCTTTCATCCCGCTCCGTGGGATGTTCCATGGATTGTGTTCCCATGGATGAGGATCCGGGGGGATTTGGGGGCTGCTGACCCCCCCAGGGACCCCCGGCCACTCCTGCCCCGCAGATGGAGCCTCAAGAACTCCCGGGTGGAACCCCAAAATCCCTTGGGATTTACTGGAATCCAGGCTGGAGACGGAGCCAACGGGAATTTGGGGATTTTGGGAACTCTGAGGGGGTTTGGGCTCTTTTGGGGGCGGGGAAAGGACGATGGAGGTGTTGGGGTGACAGAACAACCCCAATAAAGCCCAGGGGGAATTTCCCAAGGTTCAATCCTTGTTTTTCCTAAGGAAATGGTGCTGCCGGGTCCCCCCTGCACCTCCCTGGGCTGGGTAATTTTATGAATCAGGCAAAAAAAAAAAAATCAGGGTTTTTTGCTTGTTCTGGCAGAAAAAAGAGGGGGAAAATCCCTTCCAGGGAGGCTGCAACAGGCCTGAGCTCCCAAATATTCCATGGAGAGGAATTCCTGTTGGGATCAGATTTGGGGCGCACCAGAGAATCCACAGGAAGGCCCAGAGTGACTTTTTCTGCCCAATTCCCAATTTTTATGTGCAGTGGGAGTGGATTCTCTGCTCCGGGGAGTCGACTGCAGCCTTAAAAAAACTCTGGAGGTGCTTAAAAAAGTGAAAATTCCATAAAAACAGGGCTGTGGTGGCTTCGTTCGGCGCCTCACGGGAAGGATTTTACAGCTGAGAAACAAAATCGGCTTCAGAAGTCAAAACCTTCTTTCAACAAATAATTGTGCTTGAAAAATAAAGGGCAAAAACTTATCTGTGGGAGTGAGACTCCAGTTTCTAATCAAATTTTTTTTAAAGGTGAAATATATTTTTAAAAAATATTTTCAAGTATTTTGCTGCGTCTTGATTGTTTAAAAAATAAACCCCTGCATTGTAAATGAGAAAAAAAAACCACTTTAACATGAGCCAAAACCCCTTAAAATGAGGAAAACATCATCCTAGTGAGCCTTCTGACCCATTTTGGGGGGAAAGGCCCCCAAAAAAATCCGTGCATGGTAAATTCCAGCAGGATGCAGCTTGGGAGGTCCCTCCATCCCCCCTGGGACCCCCACCCAGGGACCCCCACCCTGAACCACACCAAGGGTTTCCATTCCTTTTTTTCTTTTAAAATTTCATTGGTTTTGTTTTTTGTTTTGTTTTGTTTTTATACAAAATCTGCTCCCGGAGCCGTCCCCACCCCCAGCTCGGGGCTGCGTCCCCGCTGTCCCCAGAGGCAGGACAGGGCCTGGCCCTGCTGGGAGCCCCTCGGGCTGCAGGGAAGGCTTTGGGGAAATGGGAAAAGGGAAATCGGGGTGGAACGCTCGCGTTGGAGGCTCTGGATCCTCCCGTCACCCCTGGGTGGGGACAGGGACGGGGACAGGGGGGTCGGGGCATCCCCGGGGGTCCCCAGTGGGATCTGGGGAGGGGCTCAGGGGCTGGACCCACACCCAGCCAGGGCCCTGGGGGGCTGGAAGGGCTCGAGGCACCTCGGCAGGAGGGGAAGGTTCCCGAAATTCCCCCGGGAAGAGGAGTCGGGGTCACACCAGGGTCCATAGTGCAAAGGGGGCAGCGAGGGCAGAGGGACCCCCGGGCACGGCCACGCTCCAGCCTCGCTCTGCCCTCGCTGGGAGAGCCCCAAAGCTTCCTTGGGGGGCTCAAAACTTTCCTTGGAGAGCTCAAAACCTTCCTGGGGGGCACCAAATCTTCCTACGGGGGCCTCCAAACCTTCATTGGGGGGCACCAAATCTTCCTTGGGGGGCTCAAAACTTTCTTTGGAGAGCTCAAAACCTTCCTGGGGGGCACCAAATCTTCCTTGGGATGCTCAAAACTTTCCTTGGGGGCTCCAAATCTTCCTTGGGATGCTCAAAACTTTCCTTGGAGAGCTCAAAACCTTCCTTGGGGGGCACCAAATCTTCCTTGTGATGCTCAAAACCTTCCTTGGGGGGCACCAAATCTTCCTTGGGGGGCTCAAAACTTTCCTTGGAGGGCGCCAAACTTTCCTTGGGGGCTCCAAATCTTCCTTGGGAGGCTCCAAACTGTCCTTGGAGGGCGCCAAACTTTCTTTGGGGGCTCCAAATCTTCCTTGGGAGGCTCCAAACTGTCCTTGGGAGGCTTCAAATCTTCCTTGGGATGTCCCAAATCCCAGGAGGCTCCAAACTTTCCTTGGGGGGCACCAAATCTTCCTTGTGATGCTCAAAACCTTCCTTGGGGGGCACCAAATCTTCCTTGGGGGGCTCAAAACTTTCCTTGGAGGGCGCCAAACTTTCCTTGGGGGCTCCAAATCTTCCTTGGGAGGCTCCAAACTGTCCTTGGGAGGCTTCAAATCTTCCTTGGGATGTCCCAAATCCCAGGAGGCTCCAAACTTTCCTTGGGGAGCTCCAATTCTTCTTTGGAATACTCCAAACCTTCCCTGGGATGCTCCAAATCTTCCTCGGGATGCCCCAAACCTTCCTTGGGGTGCTCCAAACCTTCCTCAGGAGCCCCAAACCTCAGGATGCCCCAAACCTTCCAGGGGATGCCCCCGAGCTCCCGTCCCGTCCCTGCCGCTCCGTGCCCGTGCCCCAGCAGGGCGAGGGGAGCCAGGGAACCTCTGGAGAAGGTGCAGAGATCCCACCCCAGCCAGCAAAGCCCGGGATGCTCCTCCCAGGCTCTGGGAGCCGCCCCCGGGGTGGTCCCAGTGTCCATCCCAACGTCCGGCCCCGCCCGGCGAGGAGGTCCCGGGATCGGGGGGTCAGTGCCAGGGGCTGGGGGGTTTCACCCCCCTCGAGGGGTCCCAAAATTGGGGGGGGGCTGTGGGCACAGTCTGGGCTCGGGGCTCTCCGTGGTCCCGTCCCGCTGGATTCGGGAATGTCCCTTCCAGGAGTCCAGGCCCGCCCAGGGCCCCGGGAGCGAGGGGGACAAACGGGATCGGGATCTTCGGGGGCTCCGGCCACGCCCGGGGACCGTCCCCAAGTGTCACTGGTTCATGGGCTCCTCCTGCTCCATGGGCTCCTCCTGCGCCCTGCGAGGGAACCCAACACGTGAGAGGCCACGTCCCGCTCCCGCGGGGACACAGGGACACCAGGAGGGGCAGGAGGGGACCCTGCAGGCAGAGCTGACACCCCACCCCAGGCAGGGGAGGGGTTGGTTGGGTTCCACCTGGGAAGAGCCCAGCTCGGGGTTCCCACAGGGTTTGGTTGGGTTTCCATTTGCTTTGGGGTTCCCAGCAGGGATTATTTGGGTTTCCATTTGCTTTGGGTTTCCATTTGCTTTGGGGTTCCCAGGAAGGTTTGGTTGGGTTTCCATTTGCTTTGGGGTTCCCAGCAGGGTTTGGTTGGGTTTTCCTTTGGGAAGAGCCCAGCTTGGGGTTCTCACAGGGTTTGGTTGAGTTTCCATTTGCTTTGGGGTTCCCAGGAGGGGTTGGTTGGGTTTCCATTTGCTTTGGGGTTCCCAGCAGGGATTATCCTCATCCAGGGTGGGGACACTGCCCTGCCCTGCTGCCACCCCCCTGGCACAGGGGATCCCGGCAGTGTCACCTCTTCTCCACCATCACGGCCACCGAGAGGGACGCCAGGGCCGTCACCGTCTCCACCTCGTCAGCCTCGTGGTGCTGAGCCTCGAGGAAGGAGCAGCCCAGCTTGGAGGCGAAGCGCTGCACGGCCACCCAGTATCTGCCTGTGGAGGGGACAGCGGGCTGGGGACACCGGGACAGGGCTGGCCTGGGACAGGGATGGCCTGGGACAGCCCGGGACAGGGATAGCCCAGGGCAGGGATAGCCTGGGACAGCCCGGGACAGGGGTAGCCCAGGGCAGGGATAGCCTGGGACAGCCAGGGACAGGGATAGCCTGGGACAGGGATAGCCGGGGACAGGGATAACCCAGGACAACTCAGGACAGGGACAGCCTGGGACAGCCCGGGACAGGGATAGCCCGGGACAGGGATAACCCAGGACAGGGATAGCCAAGGGCAGGGATAGCCTGGGACAGCCCAGGACAAAGATAGCCCAGGACAGGGTGTCCCAGGTCGGGGGTGTCCCAGGACATGGGTGACCCAGGACAGGGGTGGCCCAGGACAGGGATGGCCCAGGACAGGGGTGTCCCAGGACGGGGTGTCCCAGGTCGGGGGTGTCCCAGGACAGGGGTGGCCCAGGACAGGGGTGGCCCAGGACAGGGGTGTCCCAGGTCAGGGGTGGCCCAGGTCAGGGGTGGCCCAGGTTGGGGGTGTCCTAGGACAGGGGTGGCCCAGGACAGGGGTGGCCCAGGTTCCACTCACTCTGGACCTGGATCACGGCCTCCAGGGAGCGCACGGCGTTGGCGTTGGGCTTCTGCCTCAGGCTGTCCTCGGGGAGCGGCTCCGGCTGCGGGGACAGGAGGGGACACGGGGGGACACGGGGGGAGGTTCATGGTGGCGGTGGCACCGGGGGACACGGGGGCTCAGCTGTGCCCGGGCCGGGGCGGTGGCACAGGGCAGTGCCAGTCTCACCTCGTGGCCCAGCAGGGCGGACACGCAGGCCTCGGACGCGTCACAAATGGCCGTGAGGTCGTGGCCCCCCTCCAGTGCCAGCACCACGGCCCCCCCCGCCAGGCTCATCAGCTGCTTGGTCATGTAGCCAAGACCTGTGGGACACCCAGGATGTCACCTCCCCCTGCCCACACCTGTGGGACACCCAGGATGTCACCTCCCCCTGCCCAGACCTGTGGGACACCCAGGATGTCACCTCCCCCTGCCCAAACCCAACCCCAAAATCTCCTGTGGCTCCCCCAGGAGTGGCCGCCCCTTCCCGGGGGTCCCAGCCTGGGTGGGAAGGGGACACCCCACCCCGAGAGGGGACACCCCACTCCGAGGGGGGACACCCCACCCTGAGCCACCTCCTTACACTTGGCAGAGACTTTGTAGCCCCCCAGGGGGGGCGGGTGGCCCTCGGCTGCATCGAAGCCGGCCGACACCAGCACCACGTCGGGGCAGAACTCGTGGGCAATGGGCATCACCACGGTCCTGGGGGAAAGGGGGTGGGCAGAGGGGTCAGCCCCACACAGGGAAAAAGGGATGGGGAGAGGGGTCAGCCCCACAGAGGGAAAAAGGGAATGGGGAGTGGGGTCAGCCCCATAAAGGGAAAAAGGGATGGGGAGTGGGGTTAGCCCCACAGAGGGAAAAAGGGATGGGGAGTGGGGTCAGCCCCATAAAGGGAAAAGGGGATGGGGAGTGGGGTCAGCCCCATAAAGGGAAAAAGGGATGGGGAGTGGGGTCAGCCCCATAAAGGGAAAAAGGGATGGGGAGTGGGGTCAGCCTTGTATGGGGAAAAGGGATGGGGAGTGGGGTCAGCCCCACAGAGGGAAAAAGGGATGGGGAGTGGGGTCAGCCTTGTATGGGGAAAAGGGATGGGGAGTGGGGTCAGCCTTGTATGGGGAAAAGGGATGGGGAGTGGGGTCAGCCTTGTATGGGGAAAAGGGATGGGGAGTGGGGTCAGCCTTGTATGGGGAAAAGGGATGGGGAGTGGGGTCAGCCTTGTATGGGGAAAAGGGATGGGGAGTGGGGTCAGCCTTGTATGGGGAAAAGGGATGGGGAGTGGGGTCAGCCCCACAAAGGGAAAAAGGGATGGAGAGTGGGGTCAGCCCCACAGAGGGAAAAAGGGATGGGGAGTGGGGTCAGCCCCACGCAGAGCAGGGCACAGGGCATGGGGACAGTACCTGAAGGCAGCCAGGTACTCGGGGTCCCCCATGGGGGGGTCGAGCCCTCCAGCCCAGGCCACGTTGACGTTGAAGCCCTCGCCGGGGCCAGCGCCCACCTGAGAGGGAGCAAGGACAGGGTGAGGCTCTGGGGGAGCCAGATGGGGGTCCCAGCCCTCTGTCCTGTGCCATGGAAGGGTGTTTGGTGGTCCCAGCCCCCTGTTCTGTACCACGGGAGGGTGTTTGGGGGTCCTAACCCCATGTTCTGTGTCATGGGAGGGTGTTTGGGGGTCCTAACCCCATGTTCTGTACCGTGGGAGGGTGTTTGGGGTCCCAACCCCATGTTCTGTGCCATGGGAGGGTGTTTGGGGTCCCAGCCCCTGTTCTGTGCCATGGGAGGGTGTTTGGGGTCCCAACCCCATGTTCTGTGCCATGGGAGGGTGTTTGGGGTCCCAGCCCCCTGTTCTGTACCACGGGAGGGAATTTGGGGTCCCAGCCCCTGTCCTGTGCCATGGGAGGGTGTTTGGGGTCCCAGCCCCTGTTCTGTGCCACAGCAGGGTCAGGACTTTCCATCAGTCTCCATCCCTGTGCTGGGTGGCCCAGGCAGGGTCAGGGCAGGGAAAGGAGCCCCCGGGCACTGTCCCTGCTGTGTCTGCTGCCCCCAGGTCCCCGGGCCCCCTCCCACCTCGTCGGCGGCCCCGCTGCCCGGGAAGAAGTTGCCGTCGTCGTGGCGGTGCAGGGAGATGTAGAGTCTGTACCACGGGAGGGTGTTTGGGGGTCCTAACCCCATGTTCTGTGCCATGGGAGGGTGTTTGGGGGTCCCAGCCCCATGTTCTGTGCCATGGGAGCGTGTTTGGGGGTCCTAACCCCATGTTCTGTACCGTGGGAGGGAATTTGGGGTCCCAGCCCCTGTTCTGTGCCACAGCAGGGTCAGGACTTTCCATCAGTCTCCATCCCTGTGCTGGGTGGCCCAGGCAGGGTCAGGGCAGGGAAAGGAGCCCCCGGGCACTGTCCCTGCTGTGTCCTGCTGTGTCTGCTGTCCCCAGGTCCCCGGGCCCCCTCCCACCTCGTCGGCGGCCCCGCTGCCCGGGAAGAAGTTGCCGTCGTCGTGGCGGTGCAGGGAGATGTAGAGAACCTCGGGGTCCCTGTAGAAAATCTGCTGGGTCCCGTTGCCGTGGTGAACGTCCTGCAGGGACATCCAGAGAGGATTTTGGCAGCTGCTTTTGGCCCCAGAACCTCACGGAGCCCCAGAGGTCCCCCAGCCCGGGGTCTGCTCCTGCTCCCCAGTCCTGAGGGGTTCCAGCCACGTTCCCACAAGAGCTGGAGCAGGAACTGCCCCTGGGGACATCCTGGGGACATCCTGGGGATGGGGGGGACTCACCCAGTCCACAATGAGGATCTTGCTGAGCTTCCCCTTCTGCTGCAGCTGCCTGGCAGCGATGGCCACCGAGTTGAAGAAGCAGAATCCCCTGGGAAGAGGGGTGGGAGTCACCTCCGGGCCCTTCCCGAGCTCCCCCTGGGCAGGGCTGGCTCCCAGGGGGGATTTTGGGGGTGGTTTTGAGCCCTGGAGCTGCTTTTGGGGCTCCCCAGGTGCCGGGGGGAGGGGGGGAGGGAGGGAGGGGCCTTACATGGCCGTGGAAGGATCCGCGTGGTGTCCGGGCGGCCGCACCACGGCAAAGCCGTTCTGGGACAGAGCAGAGGCCAGGGTCAGAGCTGCCACCCCAGGGACACACACACACACACACACCCCCCGTGTCCCCAGAGCCACACAGCCCTGGGACCCCCGGCTGTGGGGGGACACAGCCCTGGGACCCCCAGGAACGGGGGACACAGCCCTGGGACACCCAGGAACGAGGCGCACAGCCCTGGGACCCCCGGCTGTGGGGGGACACAGCCCTGGGACCCCCAGGAACAAGGGGCACAGCCCTGGCACCCCAAACCATGGGGGGACACAGCCCTGGGACCCCCAGGAATGGGGGACACAGCCCTGGGACCCCCAGGAATGGGGGACACAGCCCTGGGACCCCCAGGAATGGGTGACACAGCCCTGGGATCCCCAGGAATGGGGGCACACAGCCCTGGCACCCCAAACCATGGGGGGACACAGCCCTGAGACCCCCAGGAATGGGGGACACAGCCCTGAGACCCCCAGGATGGGGCACACAGCCCTGGGACACCCAGGAATGGGGGCACACAGCCCTGGGACCCCCAGGAATGGGGGCACACAGCCCTGAGACCCCCAGGATGGGGCACACAGCCCTGGGACACCCAGGAATGGGGGCACACAGCCCTGGGACCCCCAGGAATGGGGGCACACAGCCCTGAGACCCCCAGGATGGGGCGCACAGCCCTGGGACGCCCCCCCAGGCCAGCCCCTACCTTCAGCTCCCTGGTGGCCACCTTGAAGGCCAGCTCGGTGACGCTGCCCGCGGCCCAGCGCGCGGCGTTGGACGAGTGCAGCTCGTTCCAGATGGTGTCACTGTCCACCTGCAGGGGACAGCGGGGTCACACGGGGACACGGCCTCACCCAGGGGTCCCATCAGCCACCCCACACTCTCCCCCCAGCCCAGCCCCCTCCCTTACCTGATTTATCCCATTTTAGCGTTTAACCAAACCTCTTGCTTTGATCAGCACCACCTCAGAGCAGGGAAAGTCAAAAATCTCTTCTGCCGGGGGTGGGTGGGAGCTCCCCGTGCCCGGGGGGGGCAGCTGCAGCCCCCCGGGGGGACAGAGCAGGGAGAGGAGGCAGAGCAGGGACAGCAGAGCTGGTGCCCAGCACGGGGGCAAGGAGAGGAGCAGAACCAGAAGAGGCAGCAGGAAGGCACCAAGGGAGCCCCCTCCTGAAAGAGAGAGAGACAGGACAGGGAAGGGACAGGGACAGGGACAGGGACAGGGACAGGGACAGGGACAGGGACAGGGACAGGACAGGGACAGGGACAGGGACAGGAGAGGGACAGGGACAGGGACAGGGACAGGGACAGGACAGGGACAGGGCAGGGACAGGTACAGAGACAGGGACAGGGACAGGGACAGGTACAGAGACAGGGACAGAGACAGGGCAGGGACAGGGACAAGAGGAGAGGAGAAGGCAGTGAATGCAGAGAAACCAGGAGGGAAAGCTGGGAGTGGCGAGGCCTCAGAAGGGACGAGCTGCTGTCCCCGTGTCACTGCTGCCCTCCCTCAGTGGGGACCCCCTCGGGGGGCTCTGGATCGAGGATCCCCTTGCAGGGTGGGATGCTCAGACATCCCCAAGGACCCCGAGCTGCTCTGATCCAGCACCTCCATCAAACACCCCCAGCCAGGCAGCCCAGAGGCTTCGGGAGCTGCCCCGAGATCCTGAGGGGCCAAAAAGGAACAGCCCTGGCCAAAGGGCAGAGCAGGGATGGGGCAGTGACCCCAAAACCCAGAGCAGGGATGGGGCAGTGACCCCAAAACCCAGAGCAGGGATGGAACAGTGACCTCAAAACCAGGAGCAGGGATGGAACAGTGACCCCAAAACCAGGAGCAGGGATGGAACAGTGACCCTAAAACCAGAGCAGGGATGGAACAGTGACCCCACACCCCAAAACCCAGAGCAGGGATGGGGCATTGACCCCAAAACCAGGAGCAGGGATGGAGCAGTGACCCCAAAACCAGAGCAGGGATGGGGCAGTGACCCCAAAACCCGAATGAGGGAAGGAACAGTGACCCCAAAACCCAGGTCAGGGGTGGAACACTCACCCCCACCCCTCCGCAGGGCAGCATCACAAACGTCCTCTGGGACAGGATCCCTGTGGAGAGAGGGACCAGCGGGGACTCAGGGCTGGGGGAGCAGGACCAGCGTGGGGCCAGGCTGTGCCCAGCACCCCGGGGAGCTGCTGGGAGCCACCCCCAGCCCCAGGGGACAGGTGACGGGGTGGCAGGGGGACGGGCACCCACCTGCCAGCTTGCCGTTGTCCAGTTTGAGGCGGTTGAGGGGGTTGGTGCCGTAGAGCAGCACGTGGCGCTCGCTGTGCACGCACTGCAGCTCCTCCAGGGTGGCCTTGCGGCCCCGCAGGCACTGGGGGACACAGCTGTCACCGGGGGGACGCGCGGGGATCCCCCCAGCCCGCCCTGCTGTCCCCCTGCAGCCACGCAGGACCCCCGGGGCTGGAGCTCGAGCAGCCCCAAACTGCAGTCAGGGAGCCAGAGCCAGCCCTAGGCTGGGTTTTACTAGGCTGGGCCTGGTAAAACTCTCGGATTTGGGGGATCAGCCCCTCCCTGGGCCCAGCAGAGCCCAAATCCTGGGGGGAGATGGGCAGAGCAGGGAGCCAAGCAAGGAAATGGTGACAAACGGGGGGAGCAGGGGTGGGATGGGATCGGGAGGGACAGGGTGGGATCAGGAGGGGTGGGATGGGATCAGGAGGGGTGGAATGAGATCAGGAGGGATGGGATGGGATCAGGAGGGGTGGGATGGGATCAGGAGGGGTGGAATGAGATCAGGAGGGATGGGATGGGATCAGGAGGGGTGGGATGGGATCAGGAGTGAGCAGGTGGGATGGGATGGGTTCAGGAGGGCCCAGGTGGGATCAGGAGGAATGGGATGGGATCAGGAGGGATCGGGTGGGATCAGGAGGAACAGGGTGCAATCAGGAGGGATGGGATCAGGAGGGATCAGGAGGAATGGGATGGGATCAGGAGGGATGGGATGGGTTCAGGAAGGATGGGATGGGATCAGGAGGAATGGGATGGGATCAGGAGGGATGGGATGGGTTCAGGAGGGATGGGATGGGTTCAGGAGGGGTGGAATGAGATCAGTGGGATCAGGAGGGGTGGAATGGGATCAGGAGGGATGGGATGGGAGTGGCAGGGACGGAGGCGGGCCCAGCCCCTCCCAGCTCACCTCGCAGCGGCTGCGCAGGCCCCGCTCCTGCAGGCGGGACCAGATGCTCTGGATCCTGCCGGCGTGCTCGGGGTGGTTGCTGTTGTCCCCGCAGGAGCACTGGTGCTTCAGCATCACCGAGTCGTAAACCAGCCCTGTCAGGCAGAGCCGCACGCTCAGCTCCTCTGCAGGGCCTTCGAGACCCCAGATACTGACCAAAATCCCCCCCATCCATGGGAGATTCTACCCCAAACCACGGGAGATTCTACCCCAAATCACGGGGGATTCTGCCCCCAAACCTGGGAGATTCTGCCCCCAAACCATGAGAGATTCTGCCCCCAAACCATGGGAGATTCTGCCCCAAACCACGGGAGATTCTGCCCCCACACCATGGGAGATTCTGCCCTAAACCATGGGAGATTCTGCCCCAAACCATGGGAGATTCTGCCCTAAACCATGGGAGATTCAGGAATGCAAACCCCAGGAATGCAGCCAGGGGCCGGGTGGGCAAACCCTACCTGGAACAGCCCTCCCAGACAAAAAGAGGTCCCCCCCAGCTCTCTCCTGGCGCTCCCAAGTCCAGGAATGACCCGGAGCGATGCGGAGCCGCCCCGGGACACCCCCAGGTCCCCTCCTGTCCCTGCCCAGCGGTGACAGCCCCGCAGGGTGACCATACCTGTGGTGAAGTGCGGCTTGGGCGGCTGCTCCTGCACGGGCAGGGCCAGCGCCTTGGTGTCCTGGGCAGGGAGGGACACGGTGGCCGTGGCTGGGGACGACTGAGCCCTGGACAGCGGCCGGTGGCCGGGGGGGAGCACGGGGGGGTCGGCCAGGGGCTGGCGCTTGAGGAGCTGCTGCTGCACCCGCTGGAAGGAGTCCCACAGGAAGGCCTGGGGACACAGGACACCGTCAGGGGACAGGCCAGCCTCCCCAGCGCCGGGACAGGGGACACAGCCCTGCTTGGTGTGGCCAGGGCTGGATCCAGCGGCTGGTCCGGGCTCGGAGTCGGGACAGGAGGGGACAGGACAGGAGGGGACAGGAGGGGACAAGGCAGGACAGGCAGGACAGGACAGGAGGGGACAGGACGGGACAAGCAGGACAAGCAGGACAGGCAGGACAGGAGGGGACAGGACGGGACAAGCAGGACAGGCAGGACAGGACAGGACAGGACAAGCAGGACAAGCAGGACAGGCAGGACAGGAC